TTTCTTTCTTTCTTTCTTTCTTTTCTTTTATTTTTAAGCAAACCAGGGAGATGCAGCTTTTGGTATACAATGAAGGTGCATTCCCCCAAGTCCAGAATCTAATTCAAGCTAGCTCAGGCCTTCTGGTAGGGTGGGCCAGAGGGGGTTGCCTGGATGCACGGGGTGTTCATGAGGATGTGGATTCTAAGGTCTCCCTCACAGGCTTCCCACCTGCTGTCCCCTCGCGAGCCCTTCCCTCGTCTCTATCCCCTGGGGCTCTCAGTGCCCCCGACTCCCCAGGGCTCAGTCATGGGAATCTGCTCACTTTATGTTGGCTCCCACCTTTGCACACTCAAGTTGCCACTTGCCTGTCTCCATTCCATCTTCCAAAATGTGTTGACACCTGTCACCTGCTGTCATCTCCTCTCCTTTCTTTGTCCTTGATTACGTATACCGTGTTATCGCTTTGCTGTCAGGTTAGTGAGGGTTAAGGTAGAAGAGGAGATAAGTGCATGTATTTATTGCTTCAGATTTAACGGTCAGGACAATGCCTTGATCAATTCAGCCTATGTCTGTTGAGTACCTACCATGTGCCCTGTTCCTCTGAAATCATGGAAAATTTTCATCCCAGCCTAACTCTTGCCTTGTCATTGGGAGAGTTCAAGTTCAGGAATAGGATTCCTCCCTCCTCTCTGCTCCCAGAGCAAGTCACACACACGTACCTCAAATGCAGAATTCAGTACACTACGGTCTAGTTCATTTTTCACTTGTCAACGTCCTCAGCCAGACTGGGCTCTTCGGTAGCAGAACTAGGCCTTAGTCATATCTGTGTCCCCAGCACCTGGCACGGTGTCTCACACATAGTGCATAGTCAGTACATTTTGTTGAAGGAAGAACAAAATGAAACCCACGCTTACCATGTGTAGGACCCACCACAGATGGAGTTTTGAGTGAGCAGGTATTTAGCGTCAGCCTCGCCACTGCTCTTAGCGCAGGTGCTGGAGAACCCCATGGAATGTGGTGTCCTAGCTGAGAGGCCTCACAGACCATTTATAGAAGAAAAAACTGAGATATCTGAGATCTGAGATCTTCGGTGCTTGAGAAAGCCCCATGTCACACAGGGAGTCAGAAGCAAAGTCTAGAATTTAACACAGGTATTAGGACTCTCTGTTGTGGGTTGACTCTACAGGTGACAGAATTTTACAATTTTTTTCCTTTTTATGGAGACTAAAAAGGAAAAATTTTGTCATGAATATTTTGTAAATAAAGGTGCATTTAGCTACAATTTCCCATTTTCCTTACATATGGTGACTTTGGGGACACCCTGTACTTTGCTAGTTAGAATCCTAAGAGATTTTATTTGGTTAACAATTTATGAGAAAGAGTAGAAAGAAAACTGGAGGGTTTTACAACCGAATGGATCAGTCAAGCACAGTGTCCTAAACCAAAGTGCTTGCTCCCAGGAGCCAGGCCTCTTAAACGTGGGGAGTTACATTTGTTGATGTTCTAAGGAAAAGATCAGTATTAGAACTTGTCCAGGCAAAATCTTGCCAACTTTTACCCAGTTAATATCATCAGAGCGAGATGGGCCGGTCGAAGTCGTGGAGGAATTTGAGACTTGCAGAGGATGAGGGCAGGGAGGGGAGACATGGATCAGCATGGAGGTCAGAGAAGAAACGAGCCCAGCGGTGGCTGTGTGCCGGGAACAGAGACGAAGCATGAAGCATAGGCCCAGGGAATCCTTCCAGATCACCCTTCCCTGGATTCCACAGGAGGGGATTTGAGCAGGGGCGAGACCGTCAAAGGGGGGTGAAAACAGAAACGACCTGCTCTAAGAACTCACCAGGTGAAACAGCATCGCCCAGCACACCCACACTGTGGACACTTGTGTCCTTCGAGTCCCACACGTGGTGAGGGCCTCGATGACAGCGCATGGCTGTCGTGAGAGGAGGGCTCGACAGGAAAGGGCGGGGGCCCCCGGAGCTCGGTCTTGGCAGAGGGTCGGTCTGATTGCTGCACAGATTGGGCATGGAAGTTACTCAGAGAAGTGGAGGCGATGGGAGGGGCGCGGGGCCGGGGGAGGAGCTGGATGGGGAATGAGGTCTGTATATTCATCGAGTCAACTGTGGTGCTACCGGCACCACACCGAGCGTCGGGGACTCAGTGGCAAGCAAAACAGATGTAGTTCCTGCCTTTGCAGAACGTACAGTCCAGTGACCATCGCGGGAACCCTGGGGTTCCCAGGGAGCTTCTTGAGAAAGGGAAAATGTGGTGGGCTTTGTGAGATAAGTAAGGTAGGCTAAAGAGATACTCTAGCACGTGGTCGTGTCTGGAAGAAACGTGGGAGTCAATAATGGAACAGGCGGCTACTTGACGAAGGCTCCGCGAGGGGTGGCTTCTGAGTCCCAGAGGGGTACGGGCCTCCTAGACGGGGCTGGAGTCACACCGAGGGTGTGACCCTGTGGCCACGAGGAGTGCCGACTCACCCCACAGCTGCCTGCCCCCTCTCCCTTCCTCCCCCTTGCAGATCTCAGCCAGTGGGACGGATCTAAGCCGGTTCTGCGGTCAGCAGGGCTCCCCTCTGGGCAGCCCTCCTGGTCAGAGGGAGTTTGTGTCCTCAGGGAGGAGTTTGCGGCTGACCTTCCACACACGCTCTTCCTCAGAGGACAAGACCACCCACCTCCACAGGGGCTTCCTGGCCCTCTACCAAGCCGTGGGTGAGTGTCCCTACTCAGGGTGCAGGGAGGAAGCCTCTGCCCCCAGCCATGACCCCTGGAATCTTGAAGCCACAAGTAGAACTTTGAGTGACAGCTTGATGGCTGAGTCTGGGGGCTCAGGGACACCTGGGCCCGACCCCAGCTCTGCCGCAGCCCGGACCATGCTGGTGAGCAGCCGCCTTAAGGGGCGGCCACTGCCCGGCCCCGGCAGTTGTCTCCATGCAGACTTACCGGCCCAGTGTTTGCAGATCATCTCATTTTTGAAGAGATGCCAAAAATCAAGATTTTTTTTTTTTAAGTAAAATTCTAGATTTTCAAATGGTGACTCAGATTTTTTTTTAAAGATAATGTATGCACAAGATAAAATTTTCAGTAACAAAAAAAGACAATATACTAAAAAATGAGTCTTCCTCTGATCTCTGGCCCTTAGCTCCTGGCTACCTTCTCCAGAAACAACCCTGTTCCCCACTTCCTGACCATTCTTCCAAAAACCTTTTACGCCATTTGAGTATAAACTGTCTGTTTGTCTGTGTGTGTGTGTGTGTGTGTGTTGCATACTATACACAATGCTCTAAACTGAGCATTTTTTCACTAAGTGATATATCTTAAAGATCATGCCATATATATATGGTTAGCATTGACTGATTCTTTTTTAATGACCACATAAAATCCCTTTGACTGATGTGTCATAATGTATTTAATCAGTCCTCCACTGGTAGATATTTTGTTGCTACAAACAGTGCTGCTGTGAATATCCTTGCATATAATACATCTATCTTTGAGTATATGTGTGAGAATATCTTTAGAGTAAATTTTTAGAAATGGAAATGCTAGGTTAAAAATATTTGCATTTTTAATTTTGATATTGCTAAAATTTTCCTCCAAAAAGGTTTTGCTAATTTACATCCCCACCACCCATGTATGGAAACGTCTGTTTCCCCATACCCTACTTATCACAGTTATTTTCAAACTCTTTGAGTGTTGACAATCTGATTGGTAAAAACCAGTTCAAATGGTTTTAAAGAAGCACTGTGCAGGTCCAGCTAAATATAGCCATGGGCTGGAATCAGCCCCTGGGCTGCCAGCGGGCACATCTGTGCTGGGCCCAATGGCTGCTGCTTTCCTGTAGCTGTGAGCTGCCGTCAGCCCACCAGCAGGGCCAGTGTGGGCTCCGAGGCCATCAGCACACCTGGAGACAGCCCCGCCGAGATCCACAATCACTGCCAGGAGCCCTATTACCAGGCGGTGACAGCAGGTGAGTCCCTACCTACTGAGGAAGTGGCTTCCATGTGCCTCCCTCCCACCCAAAGTCTTGAGGCCCTCTGAGCACCGTCTTTGTTAACACAACACCTTCCAATTCTGAGCCTGTTCCTGGGCCTCCTCTCGTTTTGCTGCTCAGGGACGCTCACCTGCACGGCCCCCAGGACCTGGAAGGACAGAGAGGGCAGGGAGGAGGTTCCTCAGTGTGCGCCGGGTGAGTGGTTCCCTGCCAGTGCTGTTCCAGTGGCCACTTCCCCAACCAGCCCCAGCTGTAACTGGGACCTGTGGGGCACAGGGCTCTAACGGGGAGAGAACACAGAAGGTGAGGAAGAGGCCCAGGAAAGAAGAGGCAAGGAGCTTGTCCCTTACTCTTCCAGGGTCACAATATATCTAGGAAAATTAAAGTCTGGAGGAAGTTAATCAGATGGACAAGGGAGGAGGGAAGAAGGACAGATGAGCTGAAATAAGAGAAAACCCTCTCTTTATATGGTATGTTTTAAGGATATACAGACAGGCTCTCTGTCCCCAAAATAGCTCCCTACCTAGACACCACACAGTGCCAGAAAGTCCACCATTTAAAAAAAATTTTTTATTGAGATAAAATTCACATACCATAAAATTCACCATTTAACCACTTTAAAATGTGCAATTCAATGATTTTTAGTGTCTTCACAATGTTGCGCAACCATTACCACTAATTCCAGAACATTTCCATCACCCCCCAAAAATACCCAGTACCTCCAACTCTCCCCTCTCCCATCCACTGGCATCCAACAATCTACAGAGTGTCCCAAAAGTTGCCATACATAAGGAAAATGGGAAATTGTAGCTAAATGTACCTTTATTTACAAAATATTCATTACAAAATTTTACAAAATGTTTCCTTTGTTTGGAGACTTTTGGGACACCCTGTACTTTCTGTCTCTATGGATTTACCTATTCTGGACATTTCATATGAATGGAATCAAACTATGTGGCCTTTTATGTCTGGCTTCTTTCACTTAGCATAATGCTTTCAGGATTCTTCCATGTTATGGCAAGTATCAGTATTTCATTCCTTTTTATGGCTACATACTATCCCTTTGTATGGATACACCCCATTTCGTTTATCCACTCGTCAACTGATGGACGTTTGGGTTGTTTCCACTTCTTGCCTCTTGTGAATAATGCTGCTATCCGTGTTTGTATACAAGTTGTTATATCAACATATGTTTCCAGATTTCTTGGGTATGTAACTAGGAGTAGAATTGCTGGGTCATGTAATAATTCTATGTTTAGCTTTTTGAGGAACTGCCAACCTTTTCCACAGCAGCTGTACCATTTTACATCTCACTGGCAATGCATGAGGGTTCAAGTCCACCATTTTGAGACCCACATTTTTGAATCAAAGCATTGCCTTCCTAACTCAATCCGATCCACAGGAAACTCTAGGGGCAGCCTGAAGGCTCACTGTGCTTTGAGAGTGGGTGGGAAGGCAGGTGGTAGTGGGAGATGTTGCAAATGATGAAGTGACAGAAAACAGAGGCAGAAGACGCTGAAAACAAACTCTGCCTGCAACATGACTTCGCCTGGGGGTGCTCCCACCAGGAATCTAAGGAATAGCTTCAAGATGACTGAGGAGGCAGGAGGCGGAGCCCAGCAGAGCCAGCACCATGCTCTCTGCCCCTCAGTCCACTGCCCTGAGTCCCATGCAGGATATGTGCCCAGTAGCATGACTAATTTCCTGCTCCTGTCTGCCCACATGGTCTACACATGTGGGTCTGCACCAGGGTAAGTGATCTGACCCCAGGCGGAGCCAGACCCGGGGCCTTCTTCACAGAAGTAGGTGTTTAATCAATGTGCCTTGAGGCCACCGCCAACTGTTCACCCTGCCTCTCCTCCCACGCAGTCTGTGGACAGCCAGTCATCCCCATTGCCCAGAACCAGACGACCCTTGGTTCCTCCAGAGCTAAGCTGGGCAACTTCCCCTGGCAAGCCTTTACCAGTATCTACGGCCGCGGGGGCGGGGCCCTGCTGGGCGACAGATGGATCCTCACCGCTGCCCACACCATCTACCCCAAGGACAGCGTCTCTCTCAGGAAGAAGCTGAGTGTGGATGTGTTCCTGGGCCACACAGACATCAATGAGATGCTGAAACTGGGAAACTACCCCGTCCACCGTGTCGTCGTGCACCCAGACTACCGTCAGAATGAGTCGCACAATTTCAACGCGGACATCGCCCTCCTGGAGCTCCAACACAGCGTCCCCCTGGGCCCCAGCGTCCTCCCGGTCTGTCTGCCCGACAACGAGACCCTGTACCTCAGCGGCCTACAGGGCTACGTCAGTGGGTTTGGTGTGGAGAAGGGCTGGTTAACTACTAAGCTGAAGTACTCAAGGCTGCCCGTGGCTCCCAGGGAGGCCTGTGAGGCCTGGCTCCAACGGAAGCAGAGGACTGAGGTGTTTTCTGATAACATGTTCTGTGTTGGGGATGAGATGCAGGAAAACAACGCCTGCCAGGGGGACAGCGGTAGCGTCTATGTGGTGTGGGACGATCGAGCCCATCACTGGGTGGCCACGGGCATCGTGTCCTGGGGCGTCGGGTGCAACACAGGCTATGGCTTCTACACCAAAGTGCTCAACTACATGGACTGGATCAAGGGAGTGATGGACGGCAGGGACTGACCCCAGGGCACTGAGCAGTGACCAGCCAGTACTGTGGAGGCCCCAGTCAAGAGACGGTTGAGAGTCAGGACTGACTCCTGGAGGTTGGGGGAGAGGGGTCCCTATTCAAGTCACTGATGCAGCAAGCCACTGTGTGAGAAGTCCTCCTCCCTTCAAGCCTACACCAGCCCAGGTAGAAAGCGGAGTCCCACAGCCCCTTCTCCTCGCTCTCTACCGCCCTGCACACTTGCACTGCACCCAGGGAAGCCCTGTTTCACCTCGAACATCCTGTGAATCCCCCTCCTTGACTATTGACACAGCATCTTCCGTACTTACCTGTGGAAGAGCCACCTTCTCACCCCCTATTCAAGTGGAGCAGGGAAGGAGGGGTCTTAATTGCATTTCGTGTCTGAAACATTCCAAAGACCCTTTAATTGACCTCCAAATACTCAAGCTATTGGCTTCACTGCCTACCGACAGCTCCTAGATGGAATTTATAGTAAGAGCTCCCTTTTTGTTTTATGTCTCCTACGTGCCCGGTGCTCCATGTGTTATTTCATTTAATCCTCACACCACATTTGCAAAGGATGTGTTATTATCCACATTTCGCAAATGAGGAAACTAAAGCTCAGGGAGATAAAGTGCCTAGCGAAAGAGCCAGCGTTGGTGCGTGACTGTCCTCAAGCTGTCCTCAAGACCTGCTAGATCACCCACTTCCCCGTCCCAGCCCCTGTGTCCTTACAATCCCCTTTCCCTTGGAATCTTTGCTTCTGTGGAGATGGCATCATGTGGCTCACACTCTCCTGCTGGCTCCGTCTCCTGTAGACGCCAAGGTGAGCCCAGCCCAGCCCTGGACTGGAGTTCCTGCAGACACCCCGGTCTATGCGCCCGTTATTGAGGGCGCTGCTCCACTTAAGAAGACCAACTCTTCAAGTTTTAGTAAAGATTTGAGGTGATTCACAGTGAAAGATACAAATAAAATACGACTGTTCAACAAAAATAGAAAATGAATACCATAAAACAGAGAGGAGAACAAATTTGTGAGCATTGAGAGTCAAGTTGCTAGATGGTCAAAAGTTAAATTTCTCTCTGAGAAATAGCAGTATTCCAAGTTGTACATAATGTGGTCACGCCTGTTCTTTAAACCCACACACGGTACAAAAAAACTATTAAAAATGCTCTCGAAATATGAAACAAAGGTGGTTGTCGTCACTATGATTTTGGCTATTTGGTTTCCCCTATTCTCTATTTGCTAAATTTTATTTAATGAACGTGTATCATTTTAACTTATTTTATTTTACTTATTATTGAAGAAAATGATATGAGTTACTTCCTGCCAAGGCAAAAAGGATATACTTATACCTATATGTGTGTGTATAGATATCTACATCTCTATATCTCCATCCACATCTCTAGACCTAGAAATATAAATCAGATAGAGATTTATCCGTAGAGAAAACCTACCATTACTTTAAAAGAAACACTTTTTTCCCCAGAATCAAATCCTAAAAGGAATATCAGAGACAATGTCTTCAATACCCATTTTAAAACAAGTACAGGAGCAATCTTCATGTGGCTGTTTCTTCTTTCTATTCTTGGTATAAGTCAAGGATATAACAAAAACGTTGAGTCAAGGTCATCTTGAATGGTTGGACAGAGCTGGGACTGAGCTAACGAGGTCCAGCTTGGCCACTTTCCTGCCATGTTGCACGATTCTAGGACAGAACTCAGAATCCCTAGGACAGGTGGCAGAGCTTCAGCTTCTTGGACCTTCTTGGACCACCTCATCCTTACCTGTTCCCTCTGCCCCATCATGAACGTGCAACACACACACACACACACACACACACACACACACACACACAGAGAGGCTGCTGTTGGGATACTAATGTGCAGTGAGCCAGATGAGATTCGCCTTCCTTCTCATCCTTTGAGCTGGTCCTTTTTCTTCTCCCCTCTCTTTTGTCTTTCCTGACCTGACAAGGCCGTGGGTCAGGTCACAATCAAGTCGTGGACCAGCCCTGCCATCAGATTCACTCCTCAGCTCCGACACATAAGCCTGCTGCAGAGACCCTCCAAACCTTGGTTGGTCTTGCACCTGCCCTGTGCCTGCCCTCTAACCTCATTCACTGATGACTTGGTCACTGCCGGAGGGGGAACTGCGCCATCTTTGTGAGTCCTTGCAATCTGTTGCCTAGGAAAGCGGCCTGCACGTTAAACATGTAGCCCGTAAATGGATGCATGGGTGGGTGGAGGTATGGAGGGGTTGCTCTAATAAGGGAAACAAGTGAGAGCCTTCAAAGGCACAAGAGCGCAGAGGCCTGTTCTGCAGCCCAAGCCCCCTGTGGGATAAAGTGCCAGCGGGTGTTTGGAGCCATGGAGAATTGATGAAGAAAGGCTTCTAAAAGAGCAAAATTCTAAAGCAGGACACTATGGCTTGGTGGACAGGAGAGACAGGAGCCCCTCCCCACCCAGGGCCTTGGCTTCCTCTCAGCAAAGACCGGGTCCCTCCTGCTCTGCAGCCACACACCCTTGGCTTAAGCCCTGGCCACCATGCCCACCAGATGCTGCGGAAAACAGAATGTTCTACCCTCTCTGCAGCCACCCTGGCCTCTGTAAGAGCCGGGCTCGTTGGCAGGCCCGAGTTCACTGAGCTGGGGAGGGAGGGTCTCAAAGCCCAGTGCTGCTTGAGGGTGACCCTGACACAGCTATTGTCATTCAGGAGTAAGACAGGCCAGGGCCCCAACGCAACCAAACTCCGTTCTCCTCTGCCCATTCCCAGCTGCCTGTCTCCCCTCCGCTGTCCCTGGAGCTTCATCCTGAGCGTCGAAACCCTGGCGGTTCCTGAACAAGGGCAGGAAGAACGGGGTCGATGGGAAAGGGCGGTCAGAGAAGTGAGGCCCGGCAACCTGTGATTCCCCATTGCCTTTTGGGTCGGAACCTTTAAATACAGCGGCGGCCCCAGGAAGGCCTCCGAAGGAACAGAGATTTTCTATCAGATTCAGAGACTGAGGACTCCAGGCCTCCAACCCAAGGCTCTCCAGTCCCTAAAACTTCCAACCCCCCTTCCTTAGCCCTTCCCATGTGGACCAGCAGGTGGCACCACCAACAGGGATTTCAAAACCAAAACTAAATTAAAGTGGAAACTCAGATTTTTTGTTTATGCAAATAGTTCATTCCCTACAACATCCCTCCGGGAATGGTCCCCCCCCGCAACAGCATTCCCTCCCCTTCCCTCCTCCGCATGCTGCCCTCTCCCTCCACACACAGCGCGGGAAGACGCTGTCAGGAGAGCCCAGGATCCCAAACAGGGGCCTTGAGAAATGTGAGTAAGGCTGACCGGCTCCCGGAGGGAGGGAGAAGGCAGGGGGAACAGCAGGGCACAGGAGGCAATCCGGGTTCGTTCCCGGGAGGCAGGAACAGCCTCCCCCACCACACCTCATCTGTCCCACCGTGCACACGCGTGCATGCACACAGCGCGGACCCCTCCCTCCTCCTGAGGACCAGAGGAGACCTGAGACAGGACCTGATGCCGCCTTCCCTTTTTCCCTCTGGGCTCGCAGCAGGGAGCAGCAAGGGGAGGGGACCTCATCCGGGAGGGACCCTCTGCGAGTGTGTCTCACACTCCATCAACAGTTGCTCCCAGAGGCCTTTGCTGCACCTTTGGGAGCCCTTTCAGAGAGCCATGACTGGAAGCCCTCACCCCCAATTAACTGGTCCCAAGCCAATCCTCTTCCTGGAAGGGGAGTGAAGGCGGGGATGGGCAGGCGAGGAGGCTGGGGAGGGACAGCAATGAGAGTGTGGTAACCTCTGGACTGGACACTGCCCTGGTGAGGGACACTCCCCACCCCCACCGAGAACATCTCTGTGAGGTCCAGAATGGGCAGAGAGGAGAATGGACAGCGGTATGTCCATCCCATCCCCGACCCGGCCACTGCCCAGACGGCGAGGGGCTGCACCCCTGCAGCCCACCGACACCCTCTTTCCTTTTGGCAGGTGGCTCTTGTACCTCCTGGTGCCCGCCCTGTTCTGCAGGGTGGGGGGCTCCAGACCCACCCCTCAGAAGCTCTTTGGGGAGGTGACCTCCCCTCTTTTCCCCAAGCCGTACCCCAGCAACTTCGAGACAACCACTGTGATCACGGTCCCCATGGGATACAGGGTGAAGCTCGTCTTCTGGCACTTTGACCTGGAGCCTTCCGAAGGCTGTTTCTATGACTATGTCAAGGTAGGCGTCAGGCTGGGCGGGTGGGGGGAGACGAAGCGGGGCCCCCTGTGCAGCGTGCCCAGCCCAGGACACCGCCCCAGCCCTGTGAAAGCTGATAGCCAGGTGGAACTCAGAGTCAGGTGATGCCTGGGTGGGGTTGCCGGGTAGTGTAGAGCCCCTCAGGGAGCACTGAAGGGAGAAACACAGAGGAGGGAGGGACAGGTCCCACTCTCAGGAAAGTCATGTTTACAGGAGTCAGAGAAACCTTCCCCATCTGCTGACTAGCTGGGAGTCTTTGGGAAACCACCCTGCCTCCACTTCCCCATTTCCACGCAGAATATCGCCATGGCTGGGATAGGAGGGGCAGGCACATGAGGAAGAGAAATGTGTGCTCTGGCGGGGCAGGCATAGCCTTTTGCAAAGACACTGGGCTCAGTCCCCTCACCTCTGTGACAACCAAGGGTACCTTCCTGGTCCCATCTTTCTATAACCAAAACAAATGAGCTTCAGGGCTTAAGCAGAGCCTGTGAATGTCAATGACTACCACTCTCTGCAGGTTGAGAGAATACCGTGAAAATGGCACGTCTTCCTAGCCCGGAGGACTTGGCGAGTCTGCAGTGTTTGGTGGCAGGGAGAGCGGGGAACAGAGGGAGGGAGTCTTCTGCTTTTGCAGGACTGAGGCATCTGTGAGGAGAGGGGCAAGGGGAGCTCCGCGATGACTGCTGATGCCAGGCCGGCGGGCCCCAGGGCTCGTGCTCAGCTGAGCACATCAGGAGGCATGGCTGGGTGCGAATGGCTGGAACAAGGTGAGGTGGGATAAGAAGACAGAAATAGGCCAGGCACAGTGGCTCACGCCTGTAATCCTAGCACTCTGGGAGGCCAAGGTGGGAGGATCACTTGGGGCCAGGAGTTTGAGACCAGCCTGAGCAACATATCGAGACCCCGTTTCTACAAAAAAAAGAAAAATTAGTCGGGCACAGTGGCATGTACCTGTAGTCCCAGTTACTCGGGAGGCTGAGTCAGGAGGATCGCTGAGCCCAGGAGTTGGAGGTTGCTGTGAGATGTGATGACACCACCGTACTCGACAGAGCAAGACCCTGTCTCAAAAAAAAAAAAAGACAGAGATGAAGTCGAGCAGTCCAGACTGTAGGAATGAAGGGATGGTGAAGGCTGGGTGGAGATAGCCAGGGTTCCAGTGGGAGAAGGACACAGAGGTGATGGGGACAAAGAAATACCCAAAACCTGCTCGGGGAGCAGAAATCAGGGAAGGGGTGATGTACCAGGCACAGGACAGCACGCGACAGTGAGTCCATGGGAGACACAGGCGGCAGACGAGAGTCACCTGGGGGAGTCTGCCACAGCCAGAGCCATTGTGGGGCCTGACGCACTCTGGGCAAGAGAAGGAGGACGGCCACTGCCCTGCCACACGGACACAACTCCCTAACAGGGCTTCTTCCTGCACCTGTCCCTCCACCAGATCTCTGCTGATAAGAAAAACCTGGGCAGGTTCTGTGGGCAGCTGGGCTCTCCACTGGGCAACCCCCCAGGAAAGAAGGAATTTATGTCCCAAGGGAACAAGATGCTGCTGACCTTCCACACGGACTTCTCCAACGAGGAGAATGGGACCGTCATGTTCTACAAGGGCTTCCTGGCCTACTACCAGGCTGTGGGTGAGTGGTCCCCAAGGGGGGCCCTTTTGTCTGGCCTCCACCGTACTGAATGGGGGCCAAGAAAGGGAATCCAGAATCCAAAGAAGCCAAAAGCCTGGCTTTCCTTGTTCCTCCCCTCAAGAGAGCTTTTCCAAAAGGAGCCGTCAGCCTGGCTTCTGTCCCCCTTGGGCAGCTCGCAGAGAGTACTAGAGAGGCCCGGAGGTCCAGGTGGCCGGCACCGCCTTTGTCTTTAGGCCTCTGGCAAGTGCCCTCACGGAGACCAGAGTCACTACAGAAGTCTCCAGGCAGGAGTTTAACCCTCCTTCCCGAATCCTCGCAGACCTCGACGAATGTGCTTCTCAGCACAACTCGGCTGAGGAGGAGCCGCAGCCCCGGTGCCAGCACCTCTGCCACAACTACGTCGGTGGCTACTTCTGTTCCTGCCGCGCAGGCTACGAGCTCCAGAAGGACAGGCATTCCTGCCAGGGTGAGCCGGGGCGGGTGTGGGAGGCAGGCAGGGCCGGGGCTGGGACTTTCTGGGCCAGCCAGAGCCCACCCATGACCCCCCGCTTCCCTGCTCTGCCAGCCGAGTGCAGCAGCGAGCTGTACACAGAGCCGTCAGGCTACGTCTCCAGCCTGGAGTACCCCCGGCCCTACCCCCCGGATCTGCGCTGCAACTACAGCATCCGCGTGGAGCGGGGCCTCACCCTCCGCCTCAAGTTCCTGGAGCCTTTCGAAATCGATGAGCACCAGCAAGTACACTGCCCGTACGACCAGCTACAGGTACGGCCATCCTGCCCCCAGAGACCCCTCCTCTCCTTCCCACCCCCACTCGGCTCCTCTCTGCCCATCTGGACGGGAAGGACCAACGTCACACGTGGGCTGGGCAAGTTCCCACCAACTGGAACTGGGTCCTGGGCAGGGGGGTCCCTTTTCACCTTCAGCAGAAAACATGCACAAGGCAGGGTTCCGCCACCACCACCCCACCCCGGCCACCAGGCTGACACCACTGGCCCCGTAGATAAATGTCTGCGCTGGAGAGATAACCCCCCTCCCTCCCCCACTAGATCTACGCCAACGGGAAGAACATTGGCGAGTTCTGTGGGAAGCAAAGGCCCCCCGACCTTGACACCAGCAGCAATGCCGTAGATCTGCTGTTCTTCACAGATGAGTCTGGGGACAGCCGGGGCTGGAATCTCCATTACACCACTGAAAGTAAGGTTGCCTGGGGCCTCCCTTGCTGGCCAGCAATTAGGAGGTGAGGAGAAGGAAGGACAAGTGGCTCTGAAATAAACATGCCCTCTGGTCTCCCCAACAGTCATCAAGTGCCCCCAGCCCAAGACCCTAGACGAGTTCACCATCATCCAGGACCTACAGCCTCAGTACCAGTTCCGTGACTACTTCATTGTCACCTGCAAGCAAGGCTACCAGCTCGTGGAGGTAAGAGCCCAGGGCTGAGGGGAGACAGCTGGCCCAGCATCCCAGAAGGCATTCAGGTAGGTAGGTCCACAGTGGATTTAACCTCACACCCAGCTGAAATTAGAGATGTTTGAGCTAGAAGGGTCACTTGGTCCATCAGCTCTCAAACTTGACTGCACATCAGAAACACTTAGAGAGTTTTTTTTTTTTTTTTTTTAGACAGAGTCTCACTGTGTTGCCCGGGCTAGAGTGCCATGGCGTCATCCTAGCTCACAGCAACCTCAAACTCCTGGGCTCAAGCGATCCTCCTGCCTCAGCCTCCCGAGTAGCTGGGACTACAGGCATGAGCCACCATGCCTGGCTAATTTTTTCTATATATTTTTAGTTGTGCAATTAATTTCTTTCTATTTTTTACTAGAGATGGGGTCTCGCTCTTGCTCAGGCTGGTTTCGAACTCCTGAGCTCAAACAATCCGCCCACCTCAGCCTCCCAGAGAGCTAGGATTACAGGCGTGAGCCACCTCGCTCCGCCACTTAGAGAGTTTTAAAAGCACTGTTATCTGGGCCCCCTGCTAGGGACTCTGATTCCATTGGTCTGGAGTGCAGCCGGGACATCAGGATTATTTAAAGCTACCCAGGTGATTCTAATGCGCAGCCAAGTTTAAGAACTACTGACCTCATCCATAACTCACTGTAGAACTGGGAACTGAAAAGGCGGCGTGGAGATGTAGTAACTCACTCAGCATCGCACAGTGACTTCGTACAGCCTGGACCGAGACCCAAGTCTCCCACCTCCTGCTCCAGGGCTCTCTTATGCACCCTGGTGGTCCCACCCTAAGCTCACCATCCGTCCTCAGCTTTGCAGACTCAGGAAGGAATGTGATTTTATCCATTGGCCAATCTCACAAAAGCTGGAAAACTAAAATGCCATTTTTAAAAACATACAATTGGAGTTTCCCTGCACAAGGACCCAGAACTGAACGTGCCATTCCTATTCAACAGATCCACTGGGAAAACCTAATCAGAATCGGAGAAAAGACCTATGGTGCGTCCTTAAGTAGTAGTTAATTCGTTCAGCCAACATTTTAAGTGTCTGCTGTCAGGCAGTGTTCTAGACGTGGGAGGCACAGTAAAAAGACACCCACGTATATCCACGCAGCCTCCGCGGAGCTCACATTGGAACGTTGCATCGCGGGCAGTTCACCTGACTCATTGCCCTCGATTCCAAGAGGCGTCCAGCTACATCAGGAGGATTGGGTGGGCGTCCGGGTCCAGAAGACTGGAGACCCACAGACCCTTTGCTCACGTTAGGACCTTCCCTCTTTGGCACCACCACCTTTGCATTTGTCATTCATATCATGGAATTTAAAGCAAGTCACACAGTTTCTTGCATTATTTACATTTCACTCAGACACATTCTCTTGCAATCTTTTCCAAGGTTAACTCTCTGAAATGATTTTTGGTCTTAGTAAAACTCACTCATATTGTCCAATAACTTGTCATTTCAGAGGGTGCCATTTTCTGGTCTTGTCCCTGCTATCTACGCAACTGCAACAGCACTTAGCATATGTGAGCACCTTAGGCTGCTCTGAAAGGGGCGAGATGGCGCTAGTATTTCAGAAAGACCCTTGCCCTTAAGAAAACTGCAATCCAGGAGATGGCAGGTGCTGTAGGCCCGGCCCCGCGGGGCGCGCCAGCGAGGGAAACGGGGTTCTGCTCTGGAGCAGAGGCTTTGCTTTCACTACAGAAAACACTCAGCCTGGCTGGTGGTTTATTACAATTATAAAGTGTGGGGTTCGACTGGACCCCAGTGGGTACAGGCCAGAGTCTAGAGAGAATTGTAGGGCCTAACAATTGGGCTTGCTCTTTCTGCTCTGTGACTCAGTGCCCCTGTCTGGATCGCAGGCTGTGAAGAAGGAAGAAGGAGCCACACCCCTAGGGGAGGGCGGGTGGCTGAGAGCCTGCGATGTCTTTGTAGTCAGTCCCGTCGCTCCTGTGGGATGGGCAGGAAGGGGAGCTTCAGCGCCTCCCACTGCTGACGGCACTTCTCACCTCTGCTCACACAGGGGAACCAGGCGCTGGTCTCCTTCACGGCTGTCTGCCAGGATGACGGCACGTGGCATCGCGCCATGCCCAGGTGCAAGAGTAAGTCACGATTCAGAGATAGGTCTGTCTCTGGGGTCCTCCCACTCCTCAGCTTTGGGGACCTGGGCTGAGAAGAAGAGAGGGGTCCACATTAAGCCTCTCCCCAAGAGACCCTCCCCCTGACTTGTCCTGGGAAGCCTATGGCCCAGTGAGCCCTCATCTCGGTAGGACTGACGGCTGTGTACCCAGAACTCAATTTCACGCCATCCAACTCCCGTCCATTGCAAGTGTCCTCCCTACTGACCATATTTCTCTAAGATTCTCAGCATGTTCTGCGGGCAGAAAACTCGCATTCCCTCCACTGAAGCTCCAGCACAGTCATTCTTAGCTCTCATACGGCCTTGTGTTCTCTCCAAGTCAAGGACTGTGGGCAGCCCCGAAGCCTGACTAACGGAGCCTTCCATTACACCACCAAAAAGGGGGTGAACACCTACCAAGCGCGTATCCAGTACTACTGCAATGAGCCATACTACAAGATGCAGACCAGAGCTGGCAGCAGTGAGTCCAAGCGAGGTAGGGACTTATGCAAATGGCAATCTTCTCTCTTCCTCTTCTTGGGACATTCTCTGAGATTTCTCCTAATGGAATCCCTAGGGGATGTATATTAAGGTATGTGCC